CACACACACACACACACACACACACATACACACATACACACACTCACATACACAAACATATACATTCTCTTGTCTATTGATGGGGAGCGCCACCTGCTGGAAACTAGGTCCAGCGTCCCATGAACATCGTGAATAAAGCACCAACCGGCACCCCACACACGCACACTCTTCGAGTTGTGTATAGCGAACATGACAAAACATACATACAGCATAATCAATACCTTTTACCCTTCTCGAACCACATAAACAAACGAACTACGGGCTGCGCACCCGTGCCCTCACGGTAAGTCAATCTGCGTCCAGGCCCAGTCCGACAGTTTGGGGCCTGGGCCCTTTCTGGTTGGGCACGTGCAGGCAGCCTCCAGGCTCCCAAGTGTTTGCCGTCTTCCCATTGGCTCGCTGGGCCTCTGTGACTACGACTTATGCTGCTTTCTGATTCGCCCGCGGCCACTTCGTGATGTGTCGGCCTCACACTGCGTGTGCCCGGGGCGCAACCACCCGCCCCTGGGTTCAACTGCTTGACACAGCTGCTGTCTCTGGAGGGAGCCCAGGGAGAGGCTCACGTTGCACTTCAACCAACTGGCGTGCTGCAACTGTCTAATACCCACATTGGGAAAATGCTGAGATAAGGACCTCTCGTGGATTTGCAGGCCCGCCTTCACTTAGGGCGGCCACGAGGCTTGCTGGGGGCCACAGCCCATGTCATGTGCATGTTGGCTAGGGCCCTGTGAGGGCACTTTCCTCACCAAGAAAAAATAAAACAGGGCAAAAGTTTGGGGGGGTCCCTGCTAACCACTTGCGGGACCTACTATTGCACTTTCAGTGTTGGGGGTGTTAACCTGGGGCTGAAAAGTTTGGGGGGGTGCCTGTTAACCACTTGTGGGACCTACTACTATTGCTTATATCTCTTGGGTTTATTTCGGTTGGCGCTTTCTGATGGCGGCAAAAAGGGTTCATATTACTTCATAACTTCATCTGTGATATCTTTTCCTAGGCTCTACTTTATCCGCTCCCAGTCTGCTTTTCTTTTTCCAAGTCTCTTTCTGATGGCTGACTAGTCCTTTCTCTACATGTTAAACCTCGTGCACTGTGGTGTGCTGGTGTTTTGTTTGGTGATGGTTGTTCCAATCATTGTGCAAGGATTGAACTCCCAATCAGCAGCATGCAATCACACACCACGCGCAGTAGAACATTCATGTGAGAAGTCACACCGGGAGGGAGATGAAAAAAAAAACAAACGGGAATGACACTCCATTTTTCTCTTAAGGGCCTCGCCACGGCACTCGCAAAAGGAGAAAAATGCGACTGCATCTTCCGGAAGAAGTTGGAAAGGTTCATGTGTTACTATGAATAGTACGGGATACATCAATCTCGACGCCTTCTGCAGGGAGCAAGATGCACTGTTGACGGCATTGTGCTAACTCCAAAGAGTGTGGGAGTCTTTTTTTTTTTTTTTTTTTTGGGAAGAATGCTAGCAGGGACCTGCTAGTGGGGGAGGTGATAGGAGCAGCCTCGCCCAGTCAGTCTGCTGCCGGCCGCTCCATCTATTTGGTGGGAGCTTTGCCTGCTGGAAATTGGGTCCAACGCCCCTTGGAACATGATTCAATGTTATCGAACCCACTGTCGGGACATCATAATTGTCTGAGAAATTGTGAGAATGTCGTTCGGTAACTCTTCGCCCTGCCGCTGGGCACCTGATTATCTATCATAGCTCTCTCTGGTACCTATGCCTTCTGGGGATAGGGGGTACAGCTCTAAACCCTAAACCCTAAGCCCTTGTTGAAGATGTGACTGGCTCTTCCCCCCTATACCCCCCCCACCCCCACCCCCCCACCCTGTACTCCACACCCTTCTCTTGCAGATGTCTGCAGCGTGTGGGCGTCTATTAAACCTTTCTACCTTAGTTGAAGTTAAGCCAAGACAGTCTCGGATGCTGATGATTGTGAATGGACTGAAGTTGTGGACAACTGGCCACACTACCATCTTCACTCGAAAGAACGCCCGGTCATTATGGCTGTATTTGGCACAACTGTCAGCCCAGATATGGCGATAATTACCGGGTGTTCTATTCGGGTGAAGACGGTGGTGTACACGGTGGCCAGGTGTGATCCACTCTGAGCACTGACTAACATCCTTGTCCTTGTATTTGCTCAAATGTCTGTTTACGTGTGGAGCAGGGTCTTAGCACTTCCCTCTCTCTTTGGGAGAGCATAAAGGCCACAAGCCGGGGAATGAGCGTAATTGCAGAGCGGGGATATTGTGAAACAGGAATTGTTGATGTTGTGGCTCACAAGTAGGCTATACGGTTACTGAAGAGGTTGGTGCGAGATATTGGTCTGTCGAGGGGGCCAAGGGACAGAAAGCCAGGGTGTAGTACGATGCCCGATAATCCCACCAGGGCTGATCTGGACCGCTCTTTTCTTCCAGAGGACAGGAAGTGGGAGGAGGAAGGCACGAGTGTCGTTGACAAGCTGCATTGAACACGTCAGAAGGGGAATAAGAAGACGCCGCAAGAGCTCCAGAGTTGCCTTGGCTGTCTGTTCTTTTCGCAGGCTTTGTATCGTGACGGCGCCCATCATGTGTGCTTTGGGTTGCGGCGCAAGGAGACAGATGTTGTTGGGTATCGGCCAACAAGGGTGGATGATGTAGACAGAAGCGTAGGTAGCGGTGACCGAGATGGATCTGTTCAAGTCGACTTCCGGTATGTTTGCCTAGGGTATGCCATGTATGGGGATGGAAGAGGAACTGGTGTTGCCGTCGGAGGGGAGAGTGAGAGGAAGGGGGGGGAGGAGGGTGCAGGTGTTGCTGGAGGATATGGCGAGGCGAAGGCGGGTGCTGCAGCTTATCTTCCCCTCTGCTCTGGTAGCGAGATTCTGCTCGAGAAGAGAGCAGAGCTCCACCCTCAGAATCATCAGCACCTGCAGAAGAAGCGGGGTGAAGACCAGAAGGAAAGGGGTCTGATTAAGCCGACACCTGAGTCCTCTTCGACAGCTGGTAAGGTTGATGATGAAGACGGTTTCATCGTGAAGGAGAGCAAGAGTCCTTCTCGCCCCCTGTTGCCAATCATCCGGCCGGGTGTGGGTGTTGGCACAATCCCTGTGGACGAGTTTGCGGGGAGGTTCTTGCGGTCTGCGAGTCTCATTGCGGCACGCGTTGTGACGAATATGTCAAAGGTGGCTGGAGCAGTGAAAGCAGGCGTTGACGAGATTTTCTACCCTGATCATGGGCGGTCCAAATGAGAGGGGTAGTCTGTTTTTTTTTGGTCCAAATGAGAGGGGTAGTATGTTTTTTTTGGTCCAAATGAGAGGGGTAGTCTGTTTTGTTTTTTGAAAAGGTGTGGGGAGGTCGTCGTTCTTAGCAAGTAGCGATTGGTTGACGTTTACTGCCAGTCTTGCCGGAGTTGGAGTTGGAGGTGGAGGTGGAGTTGGAGTTGGAGGTGGAGTTGGAGTTGGAGTGGAGTTGGAGTTGGAGTTAGAGTTGGTTTTCATTTCCTGTAGTTGTATGAACTTCTATCCAATCGACGTTCAAGTCTAGGAGTGGGGAGGGGAGGGGAGTGAGAGTGTGTGAGTGGGGAGGGGAGTGAGAGTGTGTGTAGATGGAATGAATGGGCTATATGCAGGGAGTCCATCGCGGCCATTAGGTTCAATGATTTCACTGCAAGAGAAGATGTATTTTGCTGCACCAGATGATCAGCGCCTTGTCTGTAGTGTTTAATCATGCAACCCTTCCTTCGTCCAGAATCGTCCTATTCCATTGGATAGTAGCCTTTTTTTCCCCCCGAAAAGAAAGGGCGACAGCCTTGAGATATCGTCTTTGAAGTTTGAATTGACTCGCCCCAGATCAAGTTGGAGTTATTACTGATGCGATTCCAGCAGAATTCGAACTCAGGTCTGTGTTGCAACAGGTCATTTGTGTATTCCAGTGGATCGCCATTGTGGAGAGTAGGTGGAGTAGTCGTTCGGTGATTTCTGCTGCGTTTTTTTTTGCAGTACAGCAGAAGTGAGGCCAGGGGGGAAGCTCTGAAGTAGGACACTTGGGGTGTTTTTTTTTTTTGGACACTTGGTGTTCTTAGGAAGTAGGTAGTGATTAGTAGGGGGGGTTACTGCTGAGTGCTGCAAGGTGCGAATGATAGCCATTGCCTGTACACTCCTATCCAATGGATCGGGCAGGAGGGAGGGAGGGAGGGGAGGGAGGGGAGGAAGTGTGTGGGGATGAATGTGGATGCTCGGATTTCCATTGTCCTTACTTCCAATGAGGGGGGGGGGAAGGGGGGGAGGAAAGAGAGAGCTAGAAGGGGGAAGGGGAGAAGGTGCAGTTCTAGAAGGGGGACGGAAGTTTACTAGCTTGTGTCCACCTATGCCAAGGGCCTACGTGGGAAGGTGAGGACAAATATGGAAATTGGATGAGCTATGTTGGTATTCAATTCGGCGACTCCACTTTGTGAGGACAAATATGAAATTTGAAGGAGCAATCTCCAAATACAATTTGTCGACCCCACTATATCATCGTTTCTTGCATTCGTACTTCCACCTATCCATTGGTGAAAGGGGTGTGCATGCGTGAAAATGACTGAGCAGAGGAACTGGAAAGATAAGTTAGTCTTTGCCAACTTCACGATTCGTCATGCCAATACGCGCATCCTCGTCACACAGCGTTATGTACACAATCTTTGTGTCTGTCTGCCTGTCTGTTTGACGGTTTTTCCATTGCAGATTTTCTCATTGTTTGTTCTCCCACGTGCACATGCAGTGTTGTGCACTCGTGTGTGTGTGCGCGCGCGCCCGTGTGTGTGTGTGTGTGTGTGTGTGTGTGTGTGTGTGTGTGTGTGTGTGTGTGTGTGTGTGTGTGTGTACTGATAAAGGAGGCACTGTTTAGCCTAGTGTGACTATTGATCCATGGCCAGCAGAGGACTGGTTCATGGACTTTGTTATTGTTATGAAGTTATATATGAACGGTTATGGCGCGCGATGTTCTTGAGTGATTTGTGTAGCGGGTTGCTGAATTTTGTGAAACGGGTGTTTGTGCATTTAGTACCACAGCGAAAGACCGGAGGGAATATAAAGTCGGCTGAACACTGAATGGCATAGTATATGACGTATTACGTAGTGTTTTTTTTTTTTTTTTAATTAATTACGTCCTTACATAATATTTTATGTCATGGAGTGATTTTCTTTCCTATCATTTCTGAATTTATGCACGCCATCCTTGCGCAGGGGCCATGCTAATCTTCTTTCTATGTATCGTTCCAATTTTTAACGGATGTCCCAAAGGATTGTCATGGACTGATTTGTCTTGTCTGTTGTCTTCTTTGTCGTCTGCAGCTACTGAGTGTTTGCTGTATTTAGTGACATGGATTCTGCATGCTGAAAGGCTGTAGTTTTTATGCATTTTGTGCTACAACTAAAGACCAGGATGAGTAAACACTATGGGTAGTATTTTCTGTAATGGACTGATTGGTTTTGTCACTTGTCTAATTTACCATCTTCACTAAACAGACCATTGTTTTGTGCATTTCAAACCATAACTAAACATGAGAATGGATGGAGTATATATATTTGCTGGCTTGTGATAGGGTGTGAACTGACAGTCTGTAGAGTTTTTCATTTGGTGTGGGTGAGCGATAGTCTGCTTTGATTTTCGTCACGGGTACCTTGAGGGCAGTGGTTGGTGCCCACCTCAGGCTATCAGTTGTCGGGCAGTCGTTGATGCTTAACCACAATCAGGGTTAAGGTGGATTATCACTTACAGTGTAATCAGTTAGGTAGGGGATTCTGCAGACTGTTGAGGGTTCTGCCTCCTGATGAGTCGGTGAAACTCCGACGAAACAGTTTGTCACAACCCCTCGTTTGTTGTCCTCTTCTCCCTACCTCTCTGCCTACGGTTTACCGAAGGGCAGTTCTGTTCGACTATATATTGTCACAAAGTTATCAGAGTGCAAAAGCGAAAAAAAAAACAAAAGGAAACAAGAAAGATATCATATATCGCCAAACAGAGCTGCCTGGTAAACCATAGGCAGAGAGGGAGAAGAGGACAACAAACGAGGGGCTGTGACAAACTGTTTCGTCGGAGTATATATATTATACATACTTTGTTTGACTATATAGTATTGAAACTCCGACAAAACAGTTTGTCAACAGCCCCCCTTGTTTGTTGTCCTCTTCTCCCTCCCTGCCTACGGTTTACCGGGCAGCTCTGTTTGACAATAACCAGTTGGACCTGTGGAACAATGGTATCATGGTTCATGCCATCGGCGATCCTTTGGGATGCCCTTTGCGGCGATGATATTTATGTGCTTCAGCAAACCATCCGCTCACTCTTTTATGACGAGGGTCACTTCTCTGCCCCTGTGCCGCAGCACGTAATAGCAGTGATAGATCGATAACACAGGGAAAGATTCCCTTGACGCAAGTCAACGAAGAAATTCAAATGATCGAAAGATTCGAAACTGAATGCTTACACGAACACTCTGCATCAGGACAATGTGTTGACGCTCTGCGACCTTCTGCATCTGCACAGCTACAGACACTGTTACACTCGGCTGCAGGCATCATAGTCTCTGCCACAGTCACTACAATGCCAGGGTTAAGGGGGAGGGGGGGGGGAGAGGAGAGAACTGTGTTTATTGCATCCATGTGTGCAGAGGGCTGTCTCTCTTTTCTTGATTGTTTGCACCCTCCACATCCAGACATCATATGTCCATTTTTTTACGCCCAGGGACGTTATAACGAAAAGCGTGGTCTTCGGTGATGCCCGTTCTTTCTTCCTGTTGGCCTGCAACCGACATGCCATCTGTTTGTTGCGAGTGTTTGGTGGGCATATGCGTAATGCCAGCCGACGTGGTGCGACAGTTCTGTTGTGCTGAAGCGCAAGTGCACATGCCGTACTTGCTCTGCTGTCATGCTGCTTGTTGTACCTCGGCAGGCTGTCGTAATGAGGAGCAGAGGCCTGCAAGTGCCTACTGGGACTTGCAAACAGGCACATGCTGCAGCTGTTGGACTATCGCTGCATTGCTTTTTTCAAACGTGAGGTAGCGAATTGGTTTGACACCGGATGCGGAGAGCTCCTGCTGAAAATTGATTCTGCCAAATATAGAATGAAGGATACGTAAAAACTGTAAGCACCCACAAACTGTTGAAACACAAAGTATTACCGACCCAAGTTCAAATCCAGATAAATCATAAATGACAAAAAATAACTCTGATTACCTGGGGCCAGTCGGTTCAACTAGGATATTTCAAGGCTAACACCCTTTTAACTAAGAAGAGGAGGCGGGGGGGGAAGAAAAAGAAAAAGAACAAAGGATACGTGAACTGTAAGCAATCAACTGTTTGTCTGAGTAGTTGACATCGCACAATATATTAAAATTGGGCATGGGGAGATTGATACACCCACCATCTTGTCCGCCGAACACAACATCGTAACATACCCTCATTTTGAATGTATACAGGCTATACTCCCGGTCCGATACAGTGATGATGAGGGTGTTTTTTTTTTTTTTTTGG